GTTGGTTATTTATGTAACCGAGAAAATGTTTCACTTCTGCTACTCGAAAAAGACGCTTGTGGATGTCATAAAATAGTGAAGTAGATAGAGGAGGTGTTTTTGTTGTTGTTGTTGTTGTTGTTTGTTTTGATCATGTAGCCGTAGATTGGCTCCCCCTGCTGGTAGGCAAGAAGTATTGCATTTGGCCTGAACTCTTGCTTTAATGCTGCTTTATTTTAGCTAGCACAACAGTGCATTCACTAAGGCTGCTTTGTATGAGCTAATGATGTGCGTGTGCTGGTGTCTAACCTCTTTTCCATCTGCCGTGTGCTTGAACATTAGGTTCCGGGGCAGCGAGGCCTGTGCCCTGATGCTAGCAGTTTTAGGGGCATGAGCGTCCCCCTCCGGCCCCGCCTCCCAGGTGGTATCCTTGACGATGTACGTGCATTTCTCCTCGAACTCGGCCTCGGTCCAGCGAGTCATGTCGGCCTCGTCCGCCGCTCCCTCCACCGCGGCCATGTCGGAGTCCGGCTGGACATCGTCTGAGTTGGTGGATGCCATCTTGGCGACGTGGTGGGCGTCGTCCTGCTCCATGGTGTGCGCCCCCTCACTGGTCAACATGGCCGAGCTTTGAGAGGTCGCCTGGCAAATATACAAGGATGATATTTAGTTTTATAACGGAGCGAGTATTTCCTTGAGGTTCAAGGACCATTTAGGACAGCGTTGCATGGACGATCTCACTAGGGGGCCTCCAAAAAGCAAGACAATTTTTCTTTTTTTTTTTTACACATTATAATATAAACATAGTGGAAGGCATGTCCAAAATCAAACTTCTGTGACAAAACCAGTTTCTAAACTGAGTTATGGGGTCATTTATTCAAGGAAAACCCTGCTTGGGGAGGTAAGAAATTCCGGAACATTTGAGCAGGAACTGGTTTCTTTTGGACCCAGGTTGATGTAGCATCTCAAGACCAACCTTTGAGTTGGAACTGGAGTCTAAAATTAGATCTGGACTCACCTTATTTTAAATATAATATAAAAATGAGTCCTCACAGAAAGAAATAACACATTTAACACATTTACATTAACAACCAATATTTTCAACTATTACGTGCGTCTTGGACATTTTTGGCCCACTGTGGATGACTTTCAAGCGAATTGGCTGTGAATCAGACACGGGAAGAAGACGGAGGAAGTAAGGAAGTCAGGACGAAAGGAAGTTCCTGTGACGCAAGGCCGCTAAATTTGGATGGCCAGCGATTCAGCAGCAGCAACAGCGGCAAAATGGATTTGCCTGAGGAGGACGAGAACGACAACATTTTTCCATTTGGGGGGGCTTCAGGGAGCGCAAAAGACACGCTCACACTCACAGCAATTAGTCCTTACACAATAAACAACTACACCCACGCACAACAAAATTAAAGTCAAACTGACCATTATTTGCTTCATTTTCTCACAAAACTGGAAACAATTAACTTGGATGAAACAAATCCATCGATGAGCTTGTGAAGTTGTTTTCAGCGCATTTTGCAACAGCGAAAAATGCACACAAAAAAAGAAAGAAAACCGCGTTCAACATGCTTCATTTGAATGTCAAAATGTAATTACTATGAAAATGAAGCAAGTTGGGAGGCACACAATACAGCACACCTTTTTAAAAAAATGATGAGGCACAACTGGCATGCAAAATATTGCCAGGGCATTTTGACAAAAAATAGATATTCAATTCAAACCTCAATCACATCTAAATGTCCTTATTTTTACTTCCTAATTTTGTTTCTTTTTCCACAGTAGGAGTGCACACTTTTTGTCTTTGCCTGAAATCATCACACAATGCATGAAATAAAATTTTAGACCGCCAAATTCTTCAACTTCAAAACACAAAAATTGGCCCTTGTCCTTAAATGTTGAGCTTTTTTACAACTTTTTATTTTTTGGGGTGGGGGTGTTGGTTTGAAAAGTCGAGCACAGCACCAACAAATGTTTTGAGGTTTTTTCCCCCCAGAGAAGTTCAATTTGAAACTAAGAAGCACCAAAGTTTACATTTGAATTGCTTTTTTTGTGGATTTTCACAACACTGAGATGTCAAGAAATGCACGAAAACAAAAAGGTCTTTAAAATGAAAGAAAACTAAAACTAAATGCACACACAGCAATACATAACACAGAAATCATATTCTCAAGTTATTAGTTTTAAATCCACTTTAAAGCTTAAATTTAACAAAAAAAAACATTTTACTTACTTTACTTCAAGTAGTTAATTTGAACTTTAAAATCACTCAAAGAGGCATTTTTGCATTCATGGCAGAACACACTTAAGTGAATCAAGGTACTTTTTAAAACGGCGAAAAGTCACATTTTGGTCTCGAAAAACCAAATATTCCTTTTTTTGCGTATTTTCTCACCACTACATTACATACATTGTGTCCACTAGTTAAAAAAAAATGACCCAAAACCATAAAATCTTTCGGCCTTCTGATATACAAAACGGACCTTTTAAACAAGGGGCGGAGGGGGGGGGGCAATTTTAGACCTTCATATTTTGGGGGCTTTTTTTTTTTAAAGAAAAAAAAATCGCCTTAAAAACACTCCACTCGACTTTTTACTTCCTGAACCGATACAATCTTAAAATCTCACACCTTTTCTTTACATAAGCAAGAAATAAATAATAAAAATCAACTTTCTAAACGAGACAAAAAAAATCGAATTCAAGCCTTCAAACACTAAATTTTTTGACTTTCCAATGTTCTCAGCAGTGCACACATATTTCTTGCCCACGAATACAAAAGAATGATCAAAAGGCACACTTTACACCAAACCCAATGTAAGCCTTAAAGACATCAAAGTCGACTTTTTACTTCCTAATTGCATGGACTACAAGCTCCCCCCCCCCCCGACCCCTTTTTTTCTTGTCCACATACAAAACGTTCTTTTCAAACAACCTCCCCAAAAAGTTCAATTTAATCCTTAAAAACGGCATAGTTGGCACTTTTTGGTTTGTTTGTTAGTTTTTTTAACCGCTTCATTGTTTCTACTCCACCAAAAGAGGAGTAAAACGTGCACAAAAACTACAAGCATGGAACTCGTAAAAAGTTTGACGAAAAGCGCTGAAATGTTGAAAAGGAAAAGTAGTCACCGTGTAGCTTTGGTCCCATCCACACATAAGGACGTCTGGTCAGGGCCTCTCTGTCCGTGCGTGCGTGTGTGTGTGAGTGTGTGTGCGTGTGTGAGCCGGACAGGTGCACGCCGTCCTTCCTCTCCTGCCCGCTATACTCCGCGATAGTCCTCGCTTGTGTGTGCGTGCGTGCACGCGCGTATGTGCTACCTTCTGCGCGCCGCGTTGGAGTGTTTGACACAAGGCGAGAGGCTCCGGCTATGTCGCGAAGAGGGCCGGCTCGGTTACGCCCCTTTGGAGAAGAGGACACACCCCTTGGAGCCTGAGTCACGCCCCTTGGTGCCGCACGCGTAAACAAAACAAGCCAAGTGCTTCTTCCTCAGCGAGGAGGAAGCTTTCACCTGAAGTCATGTTAGAAACCACTTTGTAAAAGTTTGTTTTGTTTTTATTGAATGAGTATGTCCTTGCAATTTTATTCGTCAGGTTTTGATTGATTTGATGTATTTATTTTTTTATTTTTTTATTTTTTTAGCTCCAGCACGGGCGTGCTGGAGCCTACAACAGCAGTCTTGGGGCAATTGGCAGGGTACACCCTGAACTAGTTACCAGCCAATCGCAGAATTTTGTCACTATTATTATTATTATTATTATTATATTTTCACCAACATTTAGATTACCTTATTGTGTATTGTAGTTTTTATTGATTTTTTTAAAATTGTATTTGCTGTCTTTTTTTTTGTTTATGGTTGATTGGATTTTATTTCATTATTTTGTTTTAGTCCTGTTTATCAAAATGTGTTTTATGACTTTAATTCTATTTAGTTTAATTTATTTTGTTTTATTTTTGGATTATATTGTTTTGTATTTTTTTATTGGAGTTTATTTTATTTAATTCATTTATCCTTGTTACAAATAAATGATGTTTTCTGTTCGTGTTTTGTATTTCATGTTATTTTATTTTGTTTGCTAATTTATTTTTATTAAATCGTATTTTACAGTTTTATCTGTGTATTTTGCAAAGTTTTTAAAATCATGTTCTAATTTCTGATTATTTTTTAATTATGGGGGGATTTTTTATTTTAGTATAATTGCTTATTCTTATTATTTATTAGGATTATTATTTTGTTTCTGACTTTGTTCTGTTTTTTTTCCCAATTTGATCGTTGATTGTTATTTCAGTTTATTTTGTTTTCTTACTGAGACCTTCGCTACCTAGCACGTCGTTTGTATTTTTTCCAATTATTTATTTATTTATTATAATCATTTAGTTTTTTTGTCACTGAGATTTTTCTTGATGGTTTCTTGGGAACTCTCTGGTCTATTTATCCAAAGGACAAACTAGAATGTGTGTGTGTATGTGTGTGTGTGTATGTGACGTGTGTGTGTTAGGGGAAGCGTTGAGTCACACGCGGCGTCACAGGATGTCCCCTCTCTTCCCCAGAAAAGCAAACTGCACTCGTGCACGCGTGCAGTTTCAGAGGATGCCTGTAGGGGGCATCGCCGGTCCTCGAGGCTCTTTTTCCTTCCACTTCGTCTGACTTCGTTTCAACGTGTGCACGTGTTGTCGACATTCACTTTTGTCTCCTGCACTTTCTCCTCCTTTTTTAAAATTCATTAAAAACAAATGTAATTTAAACTTTTCAAAGATGCTCTTACGTGTGTGTGTGTTTGAATGAGTTGTGTCACATGACATTAAAAGAAGGAAACGTGCACAAATGAGGATAAGTGAACTTTTGAGCCCCCAAAATAATATTGTTAGTGTTATTGCTACTAAAAAAGCACAGAAATTGGGCTCAGACTTCCTCGTTTTAACTTTGATGTATTGCTTTGTTTTGTTTGTGTTTGTTATGATGTGTTCTTGTTTTGATTTTATTTTATTGAATTTTACATGTCATTATTTGATCCTATGAGTCTTGTCTTTTTTTAATTGTTACTGGTTTTTATTTGACTCAATCTTATTGTAGTTTATGTTTCATTTCGGTTTTTTTCTTAGGTTCTTGTTCTATTTTGTTTTACGGTATTCACATTTTTCTCTTTAATTTGTGTTTAAATTGTTTGGAATTAGTTTATTTGTACTGTATTCAGTTTCATGATTTATTGAATCCGAGTTTTTTGGTCTGTTTTTCATTTTTCTTTGTTTCAATTTGAAGTGACGTGTTTATTGTATATTATTGTAACTTATTTCATTTTATTCCATCTGATTTTATTCGTGTGCCATTTTTGATTCATGTGTCTGCTTTTGTTTTTGATTTTAATTGTTCATTGTCGGACTCAAACATGCAACTTGCTCTGCAAAATCACAATTTATTTATTACATATGAAGTCAAAAATAAAAACACAGAAATTAATGTTTCTGATTTTGCCGAATATAAAATACAGTTTATTTCTGGACTAAAAGCCATTGCTCATTGCTCCAGAAAATTCCCTTTGAAAAAAATTAAGAAATAAAAAGTCAATGTGATTTGAAATTTTCCTCAAAGTTTGGAACAAAAAAGAACATTTGATTATTTATGTTGTGTTTTTCAAATCAACACTTTGATGAAGAATATGGGGATCATTCCAGTATCGCATGGAAATGCACTACGAACATGCACTGTTCATTCCATCTCCTTATTGTGCTCTTACAAATGTTTTTTTTTTAAATCACACGTACTCTTTCTGTTATCGACACAATTTTTTTACATCTTTTTTTTCTGCACAACACAAATACACTCGCATACTGCGTGTTCCTCATCAGAGCAGATGACACATGAACACATGAACATGCCGTGCACATGGAAAATTTGCATGCAAAATGGAAGCGGAAATGGAAACCAGAACTTGCCCCAAAAAATAGAAAGGACAGACTCGTGCAAAAGTGTAAAAATAAAAATACAACAAAGCAAAATAAAAGTTAAACACAAAAAAAAAATGACCCAAATAAATAAATAGGTACAGAAAAAGAAAGGATAGATGAATACAATGAAATAAAATAAAAACAGAAATCAGAAAATCATTAAAAAAGAGAATACTTAAATAAAATAAAAACTAAAAATAAGGGGGATAAATAAATAAATATTCATATATTAAAGTAACCACTTCAAAAGTCGCTGTAACAATAAAAAATAAATAAAAACCAAAACCAGAAATTGGCAAAACACTATTCTGTACTTTCCATCAAACTATTCATCCATTTTACAATCTGCTTTGTCCTTTTGAGAGGGGCGTGGGACGTGCTGGAGCCAGGGGACACTCTGAACTGGTCGCCAGCCAATCACAGGGCGCACATAGACAAACAACCATTTGCGCTCACAATCACACCTAGGGATAATTTAGAACTACGTAGACAGTGTGCTTAACGGTAATCATAAAAATAAAAAAATAAAAATAAATAAAATCAGAATAAAACCAGAAGTTGACAATATAAATCATTTGTCACTCTGAAATGACTTGACCATTTGTTTTGAACTCCCAAAAGTCTCTCCAAAGCTTGAGCACCTTGTGACAAACGAAAAAGATTTCCGACATTATTTTCACTTCAATTACAGTCAAACACGAAATAATGAAGTCATTCAAAACAGACACAAACAACGTCGACAGCAATGGAGATGATTTCCAGAATGAGAAAACTGAGATGAATCACAAATTATTCCCATAATTAACGAGCATGTGTGTGTGATGAAAAGCGGACCATGAGGAGAAGAAAACAATTTTGAAGAAGACAAAGTCAACCTCCTCTTCCTCCTCCTCCTCCTCTTCCTCTCTTTGCTCCCTTGGCTAGCGAGCTGGTGACAGAGGGTCTAACCACATCAATGGCTGCCTACTGCTTCCTGTCCCAACACACACACACACACACACACACACACGCACACACACACACACACACACACACACACACACAGGACAGATGTGTCCACAGCTGTCGGCCAGCAGGAAGAACCCGTGCTGCTAGCATTTTAGCTAACAATAGCATGGATGAACACATGCATATACGCCTGTACAGACGTCCCTCACTATATACATCAACGTTCCATTTTTGTAGCTTCACATTACTGAACAAACGGCAACAAAATGGAGTCAACACGAGCTCATTCTGCGTTGACCAGTCGATGGCCTCAAGTCACGCTGTCACTCAACATGTAGAGTGGATCACTGTGTCGCTAGTTAACAACTCCACATTCTCACTTGCTAACTTGCACGTTACTCAAACAGGCCAGGCCTGCCTTTGAAAGCCACACACATTCGACATCACAGATGTTACAGTAGTGAATTTGAAGATGGTGACAAAAATAACACTTGCACTTCATATGTATGAAAATTATTTTTTTGGTTACTACTGAAAGGGTTTTTTTCTGTTGTCGGGTTGGTCTGAAATTACTGTGCATTCATGTACTCACATGTACATATAATCATATACATCACAACTATTCAAAAGTGCATTTCTTTTTTCCTCCAAATGATCACCTAGTATTAACATGCAAATAAACAGTAGGCGAAATGCAAGGTTTTAGCCAGCAAAAATATTAGCCTGAAGTTGCTAATGGACAAACAATACAACATAACCTCAGTCACATATACTGAACACATACAGCAAATAGGATAAAAAGGATAGTCTTCAGCTATTAGGTACCACACATGCTAATGAACAAACAAAGCGAATATGCTCATAAACATGTTGGCAATTAACTGGAACACATTTGAACAAACTATCTTATGCCACTAAGCAACATAAATAAGTCTATAAATGTTTTAGCTTTTAGTTGCTAATGGACATTAGCCTCATACAGAGAGGACATCCAAACACGTTAGCTTCATGGAGCGAACATGCTAATAAACATATTAACCACTTAGCTGGAAAATATGCTCAAATTAACTGTTGTGCAGTTTTGAACAACATGCCAATAAAAATGATAGCATTTAGCCGCTAAGTGACATTCAAAGTACCCTACAATGAGTGAACACACAAACGAACATCTTCGCCATCACCTGGCAACCAACTATTGGCTACAGTAAAACATTCTGATGACTTTTTTTGTGGGTTAGCTCCATGAGTGCTCATGAAAAGTGCCGCATTGCATAACCATGCCCAACAAACATTTGAGCTATTATCTCGTAAACATGCGACCAAACTTTTTTGATTAGCGATTTGCTGGCAAACATGCTAACATAGCAAACATGTAACGGCTTTATAGTGGTGGAAATGGTAATGGTAGCCATTGGCTGTCATTGCTAATGAACTACTGTATAAACTTTCAACATG